ATATATATCTATATAGATATATATATATAATTTATTGACGATCAGAGTCTGAGTGATGTTTTATTTTGAAAAATATAAAAAATTGCGGTATTCTCTCCCAATTACATCAGTCTGGATCTGTGCCTCTTGACACAGGTTAAGACTCATCCTATATATAACATTATATAACATCCTATCTTTGTGAAGCAGGATTTTCTGCGGTTACAGCGACCAAAACAAAGCTACGGAACAGACTGGACATCAGGAGCACACTTCATCTGTCATTTTCTCCGATTACGCCTAGATGGGACCGGCTTGTTGTTTTATTTTTATGCTGTTTGTATTTGATTTTACGACAGTCGTATCATTTTACTTGATTGTATCCCCCCCCCGCCGGTCAGTCCGTGAAAATATTGTCTGACATATAGCAGTCGGTGGTGCAAAAAAGGTCGCGGACCGCTGATCTAGGGCACCTATATTGCACCTTAAAAAGTATCAATCATCCATGGTCACTTGATGAGCAGATATATCCTGGAATGCTCTGCGAGGAGAGCTCTCCTCACAAAGCATCATGGGATTTGTTGTCACAGCAGCCTGCTGTCGCTACCTGACAGCAGCGACAAACAAAAGAGATGGCACAGGCACCGTGGGGGGAGGCAGAGTGACGTGACCAACGAGAAACAAAAAGTTGTGATAATCTGTCAGAACGTTCAGTTAGCTGGGTAACTATAAAATCCACCATATAGTCCCCACTTTATATAGTGATTGAGAGATTTAGGGGATAGGGCAGACTTTCGGACACAGCCACTGTTGTAGACTTCAACTTTTACATTCTCTTCTATTATATTCCATATTTGTTCATATTTAATAAAATTGCTTTCTGTTGGAATTTAAACGTTTTCCCACAATGTGAATTCTTTAATGTTGAGAAACTCCTGGCACATCATTATGACTTGCTCACAGACCGTAATTCCAGTTTTTGGTAACGCTTTCTTTTCAAGTACATAAATAACTATGTAATTAAATGGTAATTAAACAGCAAGTTACACTATATTAATAGGTAACAAGAAAAACGTCATTACCTCAAAATTAAGGTATTTAATTTCAAAGTAATTTTCTGTCAATAACCATTATAATTGAATGTTAAAATGTCATAATTGAGAATTTTGGTGGAGAATTATCATTAGGTTACCACGTATTATTGACTACCACCTACCAACAGATTACAAAGTAAATTGTATTATATTCTCCTCCTAACGTAACCTAAATTGGACGCTCCCATTACAATTAAACATTTTAACCGCTTCATCGTGGGGACTGCTGACCAGAACATGTTCTTCTGGGAATGTCATGTATTTAACACAGCCCTTCCTCCAACCAACATTATACTGACCCCATTTTTCATAGTGGGGACTGTGTCTTCAGGGTGATGTGTAGTTTTAAGCCACACATGGTGTATTGAATAACAAAATAATTTAGTTTAGTCTCTCGCCTGGTAAGACCACCTGTTTAACCATGTTTTAAACATGACTTCTGACAAGTTTAAAGCATCTTTTTTCTTCTTGCCACTTTTTAAGATTGTCTGGTCTGTGGAGTGCACCACTAAAAGTTATTTTAATAGTCGCTACCTCTAGAGAAGCAGTAACGTTCCTCCAGATCTATTCAGGTCCCCTAGGGTTACCATCTTGGCTGCTTCATTAATAAAGCCTCTCTTTTTGTCTGGTCACCTTTACGGTTGTGCCACACTTTTTTTTCCTTTTATGACTGAACAATTGAAAGGTGCTTTGAGCAAGCAATGCTGAAGATATATATTTAACATAATGTGCCTATAAACTCGTCCCGAACATGTCTGACATGTTCTCAAGCTTTCTTGATATTACTTCTTCACTGTAAACACTTCATAAGCTTGTTAAAAAGATACAAACAAGTGGGCTCTATTTAGAATCTGGATTTAGTTAATTAGTAGCAAAATAAAGTGAGCAGATTTTTTTCACTGTGCCAAAGTTAAGGAAGCTGAATATTCCAGATTTTGCAGATTTCTTTTTTTTAAAAGTAGGTAACAATTTTTTTTATATATCCCTGCCGCCAAACAGTTATGAATCTCAATTAAATACTTTTAAGTAGTTTGTGGGTCCAATTTGACAAAATATGAAATGTCAAAGCTTTTTGGAAAATATTTTGGAAAAAGTATGGAAAATTGAATAAAATTTTGGTCATTTGGGGATTTTCATAGTTATTGCAGGTGTTTTGAATACTGATCCAGCATAGAAGACAAGTTTTCCACTAAATAGCACTTAAATCAATATGACATCAAAGGTTGATCAGGTCACTGGAACAGTAGATTTTAAGAAAAAGGTGTATTTATGACCTCTGTGATCTTCGTGCTGATGCATTTGTGCAATTAGAATGTATTAGAGTAGCCTAATTATTTACAAAAAACAATACAAGAATAACTGTACAGGTTTGATAGGATTTACACAATATATATATTTTTTATCCATTTTAAAAACTGTTCAATGTCACATTTTTTTCATAGGGATAAGTTAATTATATGTATACCTGACACCATAAATAATAGATAGGTCCATAAGAATGTGAACAGGTCTGATTCTCAATGACTCTATAGGGTCAAACTTCCCCTCACCTCCCAAAGACGATGGGCCTTATCACTGCAATCTAGGTCAAGGAAGGTCTAAAGATCTTTGGCTCTACCATCATTCTCTGCACCTATTTGTGAGGGGGGCTAATGAGGCAGACAGCTGCTCCCAAAGCTAAAACATCCCTGCAGTAGCTTTTACTTGGAAAGGCACAGACAATGTCACCTTCAAATCCAGGGACATATGAAATGAAAAACTGTGAAATTCAGAAAAATGTGTAGATCCTTTATCTTGTCAGTCTACAACTGGAGTTTAAGAGCTCAACATATATTGGAGAGCTATAATGCAACTGTTGTTCACTGACATTTTTAAAAGGTTGGATTTGTTTTGTTTGTTTTTCTTTTATCACAACAGCCTTCACAAGAGTATGATTTTAAGACCTGTTTCTGAGGCTCTTAAGAGTTCAATAAAATGCAACCAGGATAAAATACTTCTGAAATGCAATTAGGGAGACTTTGCTTGAGACGACACATACAAATGTGGAATAAGAAGGCAAATCAAACAAGGCTGGATGATTAGGTCTCATTTGGATGTATTCGGCACACTGCAACAAGCGGTTGCTCTGTAGCACGGTAGCTGCTCAGATCGAAGGCCCACAGTGTCTGGGATTATGTGTCAATTTACCACCCAGCTGCAGTTCCACACTTTGCAGCAGAACATGACTACCTCTAATTAGGGCATGCTACCAATTAGGTCCTCTCAATAAGGCAACACAGAAGGCAGCCTTGGTGAATACACCTACTACTGTTGTCACTAGAATACGTAACATTAGTCCTTTAGCTGCAAAAGCTGTTTCAGGCTCTTTGAGAAGTTTAACTGGGAGGTATAATGAGAATGTAAATTTTGATGTTCAATTTGAGTGATAAGATAAAACCTGGAAAAGATACTAAAAGGCAAAGTGATCTCAAGCTCTGTTTTATAATCCTACAGGTAGCCAAGGTCAGTTCCCCATCACGCAGAATGTGACGGTGGTGGAGGGGGGCACAGCCAACATGACCTGTCGTGTGGATTACAATGATAACACTTCCCTCCAGTGGTCAAACCCTGCACAACAAACTCTGTTTTTTGGGGACAAGAAAGGTGAGTGATATTTCCAATCCACAGAAAAGGTTAAAAGATAAAATGTTAAGATGTGATAAATTTGTCAGATCCAGATGAAATTACATCAGTGTCATTTCAAATGTATTCCTTAAAGTTGGATGTTGGAACATGTCTCGTCTTTACTGCCTTTGAGCACACAGTTTGACTGAATACACAACAGAGACATGATAAAAGGGAAGTGAATTCATTAATCCTACTGCTGAAGAAACTTTTAATGATTTTTTTTTTTTTGATGTCCCAGGGCACAGACTAAGTAGGGAATGACTGTTTTTGTATTGCTCTTTTGTAATCACGCAACTCTCACTGTGCTGTTTACAACATTGCAGTGCCTGTGGATGTTGAGATGATTGGTCTTAATTAGTGTCTACGCTGCCCTAAATTTGTATTGTTGTTTTGATATCACTCTGATTTGGAAGCAGAGTGTTGCAACCTCATGAAACATGGCCTCTGCTAGGATAAAACATAACACGCTCTCAGCAGCCAAATCCAATTTAAAGGTGACAAAAGTCTGGATTTGATAAATTAGAATTGGGGTGAAAGGGAGTGTAACAGAAGACTGGTCTTGTAAGGGTCGGGGTGCTCATCTATCAGTGTTTCTCACAGCATATTACCCATTTCATTTCTGCTGTAGCTGCTAATACAATATCATTGGTTCGGTGATTGAAGACGAACTTTCCTTCTGAATAACAATTGATGGGGAAAGGAAGATGCCAGGAAACCAGGTGAATGAGAGTCACAGTCTGGTCTGAGGAAATACTTTCCTCCCTCACAAGTGATTGGATTTAATAATGAGGTCTAAGGTGTTTTATTAGATAGAATTGCTTCCAAATACAATTAAATGAAAGTTAACTGAATCTTAAACATACGCTCTTGTGTGAATGGGGTGGCTTTGCCCTCTGGCTCTAAATTAAAGTACAAATCAAAGAACAAATCCTATTCCTCCTCTAAACAGATGATTTTATGTATCTTGGCAATTTCATCACTCTATTCATTGACACGATGATTGAGAGTGTATAACAAGCAAACAGAGGAATAGAGGTACAGACAATGACTTTTAAAAAATAATAGTAAGAATCACAGAAAATATATTAAGAGTAAAATGAACTGATGAAATAATTGGTGAGAAAGAATGTTACTATGGTAACAGAAGCACAGAAACAGAGATTGAGTCGACTTTATTGTTTCTTTCTCTGTGAAACAGAAAACCCAGAGTTTCCAAGATTTCAAATTTAGAAAACTAAGGGCCGGATTTATCAAGATCCAACTTTGCGTGCAGTAATTTGCGCTCGCAAACT